GTAAAAACTGAATATCTCTTTATTTGTGATGAAAACAAGAACTTTTTTACATGCTCTGACTATAACATTTTTAACTTTTGAAGAATTATCTTTCAGTTCATGATTTTTCTATCAGTCCTAAGCAAAAAAAAAAGGAAAAGAAAAGAAAAGAAATCACCCTCATTCTCCAAGAATAAAAGTGACCTGTTAGAATAGTCTCAATAAAGTCTCACTCGAAATATGTTTTAAAGTCTTCTTTCTGGCGTTCCTATTAATACAACATCTTTTACTTTCTGTCTTTTATTTTCTCTTCTGTTTCCTTTTGTGGTTACCCAAACCAGATTTGGAAAGGCTCATAAAAGGATATACATTTCAAGTATGAAGTAAATCACATGTTTCCAGGAAGCAGCTCTCTGGTTTCAGAATTTCAGGGCAGATTTCAGGCGACTGGCATGGAGCAGGCCTCAAGGCTGGCTTCTGCCCAATGTTGGAAACTCCTCAATTAGGGGAGCAGATAAGAAGTAGTTCCTAACAATGTCCACTTGGGGACACTGCTTCCTTTGGTGGCAATAGCACCCATGTCACAGGCATCCAGTTTATAATAAATTCCACAGATATTTCATTACCTGGTGTTGGTCAACTGGCAGATCCTGCTAGAGCCACCGAGGCTCTCCACTGTCCAGAGTCGGCTGGCCCACCCTGCAATCCTGTCGTGAACTGTGTCTGTTCACTCACTCCTCAGACCCCTCCTAAGCCCCATCCCGCTGAGTTCCCAGGGGTTGGAGCTGACTCCCACCTGGTCCCAACACTGTGGGTCCCCAGGCTGGAAGCACAGCAAGCAGGGGTGGGAAAAGACAGGAAGTTCACAGAAGGAGAAGGACAGAGAGGCAGCACTCGGGGGAGTGGGACACCAGAGAAGTCTTGCTAAGGTGGGGAGTGAGTCTGACCCACCAGAGAGCAAATCCTGGGGCTGTCGGGCCTCACATGAAGGTCCAGAAGTCCCGGGCACTCGGCGCCGGCTGGGCATGGCGACCAGGCCCTGTAAAGAGAGAAGCCTCCCGGCGAAATGTGGCCACGGTGAAGCTGCGGCCAGGGCCCCTCTGAGGATCCTGGGTCTTCGAGTCACAGCTGAAGCAGCAGAGGACGCAGGTGATGGCCACGGTGACCACAAACAGCACCGCCACCACCCCAATCACTGCCGTTTCCATGGCCCGCTGAGCAACCTTGGGTCCTCTGGGAGCCTTAGCCCCCCATCCCAAACAGGAGGTTCCTGCGGAACACCGGCGTCCTGTGCTCCTCTGGCTGCTCTTCCTTGGTCTTCTGAGAAGATGCGGGTCTGAGGCCCTGGGCCGACGGATGCCCCTACGTGACCCCGCCGCTCGGATCTCAGATGATCTGTTTTCTAAGCCTCAGGCGAGGCCTCTGAGAACTGCGGTCAACTCCATGGCAGTTTCTAGAAGGAGCGCCATCCTGGAAGACGTGAGCACCAGACTCCCTGGCCCCACAGGAGGAGACGAGTGGAAAAGGGGACAGAAGATGCTGCTGGGAGACAGCCTGGTCAGCCTCTGGGGACGCCTACAAATGTCAAGAGCGAGTGTACACTCGGGCAAAGACCAAATACTCCCCCTCCTGTGGATCCAGGAGGAGCCTGGCTCCTCCCCGTGAGGGACCTTGGGCCAGTCCTGCAATCAGCCTGTCTGCCGCCTCCTCTGTCCTGGCCCTTTGCTGGGGTAGGTACTCCAGTTGGGAGGAAGACAGTTGCCAGCTGTGGGCAAGGTCGGGAGCACTCACAGGTCAGCACAGACGCCAGGGCCTTCCGCAGGGCTGGGGCGCAGGCGCATTGCATCTGGTCTCCTTCTCTGGGCGCTGGGAGAGATCAGTTTCAATGGAACCGGGTGTGCACTGGCCAGGACTCCCTGCCTGGCTCCTGTCTGTAGGACTCCTTCACGACGGCCCAGAAGAAGCCTTCTTGGGTCCAGGCCTCGCCCAGCTCCCTTTGCTACCTGCTCAGGCCGGCTGCTCACACTCAGGTGTTGTGTAGACTCACCCTGGGGTCTCAGAGGGCCAGGCCTGGCTGGACCAGGCGCTGTGGCCTCGACCATGGCTCTCCTCCCTGGGTGCCGTGGCCTCGATCCTGCCTGGGACTTGGCTCAGAGCTGTCTGAGCAGCCGAGAGCACTTCCTGAATTCCTTCCTCCAATTGTGAGTGAGGGCCCAGGACCTGCACAGCTGCCGCCCCTCTTGGTGACAGATCTTACCCCGCCCCCACACACAGCCCGTGTCATCTCCACCCCGCCCCCTGTTGGGGAGTCGGGGGAATGAGCCAGGCCCAGACTGCCGAGTAAGTCAGACTGCCGGCTACATCCTGGGGACTTGGCAAGGACGCTTTCACACCAGCACCTCCTGGGACCCCCACCACTTCCAGAAAGGAGAGCGGGTTATTAGACCCACTTTATCCATTTTCTTTTCTTTCTTTCTTTCTCTCTCTCTCTTTCTTTTTTTTTAGAGACAGATCTGTGCTCTGTTGCCCAGGCTGGAGTACCATGGCACGAGCATAGCTCACTACTGCCTTGAACTTCTGGGCTCAAGCCATCCTCCCACCTCAGCCTCCCAAGTAGCTGGAACTACAAGCATGCACCACCACACCTAAGTTTTAAATTGTTTTCCAGAGACAGGGCCTCCTTATGTTGCCCTGACTGGTCTCAAATTCCTGGCCTCAAGTGATCCTCCTGCCTCAGCCTCCCGAGTAACTGGGATTATAGCATGAGCCACCATGTCCAGCTTCCATATTCTGAGAGAGGGAGTAGTGAGAAACAATAACTCCAGGTCCTGGACACAGCCAGGTATTATCTCATACAACCTTCCCAGCAACCCTATGTCATGTATTGTCTCCATTTTATAGGGAACTCCATGGGGGTTAAATGACTGCCAGTGGCCCACTGCTAATTCGTAGTGATAACTAGAGCCCCCAGTAGCTGAGGAGGTGCTTCCCTTCCTCCACTCCTAGCTCACGCTCTTTTCTCAGGCGCTCCACAACCAAAGAGCTAGCACCTCATTCTGCAGTTTTATTGATCAGGGTGCAAAGGCCCAGAAAGTGCAGAGGCCTGGCCCAAGGTCACACAGCCGGGGTCTTTTTCAATTCCTCTAAGGCCCAAGGGAACTCTCCTTAGTATCAGTATTAGGAAACTGCCTAGGCACAGACTTTTCAGAGCAGACGATGTCCTGCCATATTCTCACTTTCCCTTTTCTGAGGCGATTAGACCATCTGGGCCCTGGGCCCCTCCACATAGTGCATGTTATGGGCTGTGACAGGAGGATTATTTTATTAACCAGGGCAACCAGAAGCAAAAGGAAGGAAAGGATGCACTGATCTACGGTGCCTTTGTTTCCTGATTTAATTACCGACACCAGCTTGTAAATATGGGTGGTAGAGGGCACCAGGGGATTGTGTTTCAAGCATTTCAACATTTGTTCCTTTGACTTTTCATTTGCCCGTTCTTTGTGGCTGCATGTAGTTGCAGGCCACCTGCACTAGGTTTGTTTTTTTGTTTTTGTTTTTGTTGTTTTGAGTCGGGGTCTCATTCTGTCACCTGGGCTAGAGTACAGTGGCACGATCACAGCTCACCTCAGCCTCAACCTCCTGGGCTCAGGCAGTCCTTCTGCATCAAACAGCTGGGACTACAGATGTGCACCACCATGCCTGTCAAATTCTCTTTTTATTTTGTGTAGAGGCAAGGTCTCACTATGTTGCCCAGGCTGGCTCAGCATTTTAAAACTGGAATAAAGGACTCTTGCTCAGCTCTGTTATCTTCTGCCTTGTATAGGTTTGAGATTTGAGGGGGAAACCTCTTGCCTTTCTTTGATTCATTTATAAAATCAGAGCAGAGATGCTTTGGAAAGGGGCAGAGCTGGAGGTAAGCAGATGTGGAAGAGGCTGTGGCAGGAATCCAGTTTGGGGAATGAGGCCTGGACTAGGGCACAGTATGGGGGATGGAGAAGTGGGGTGGATTTGGAGGACACAACAGAGATAAAACCAACAATGCATGGAAACCTATGGTCCCCTTCTCATCCCTGAAATCTCATGTGACTATCCATGTGAATTCGCGCCTCTCTCTCTCTCTCTCTCTCTCTCTCTCTCTCTCTCTCTCTCTCTCCTGTTCCTCCAGTCCTCACAGAGAATCCACTGGGAAATAGAAAGGAAAGAGGACATTCTGTTCCAGTGAGTCACCAGGCCCCTGACTTTCTGGCCTGCTCTCCAGCTCCTCCCCACCGCCTCACCAGGCCCCCAGACCTCATCTCCCTCCACTTCTCATCCCAGCTCATAGGCAGACTGAAGTTCTCAGACCCAGATTCCCTTCCTTGCTGTGGATTCTTCCAGCTGTCCACAGAGCATTTGGGAACAAGCCTCCAGGCTTTGGCAAGTGGGAGTCTCAGTTATCCGTTTTAAGGAAGAGGTAACTGAGACCCAGAGGAGGCAAGCACTCTCCCAAGGCCACCCAGCACCCAACACCGCAGCCTCCAGTTGAAAGAACTCCTTCCTCCCCTCTCCACCACCACACACAGGCGCCAGCTGGGGCTGGCTAGTGGCTCAAGGCTTGGATAAGAAACTGTGACCCAGTTACCAAGGAAACACTGAATTCAACGGGGGGGGGGGGGTGCTTCTCAAGTCCCAGGGCTCAGTCTGCCCTAGATATGGCTGGAAAGAGAACTGGAAGTAGAGCCCTGGAAGCCGATCTGGGAGGCTTCAATCCCCTGTCTCTGAGGCCCTCAACATGGAAGGCCAGAGCCCTGGTGCACTGAAGGCCCTCTCCAGACAGCGCTTTGTGTAAGCCCTGAATCGCCCCTCAGAGCTCAGGTAGAGCCCACCCAGTTCTCCCCCCTCCACAGCCAACCCCCAAGTACCAGGCAGAAACTGCCTGTCCAGGCAGCACTTCCCAGCAGAGAGGGAGGCCCCAGGGCAGTACAGACAAGGCGGGGCAGCTCCCTCCCTCCCGCTATGTTGCAATCAAGAGCCTCTTCACAAAGCTTCTTAGTGGTTTTTATTTCTGGGACTAAGGCACCAAAGAATTGACTGTACAGCCCATATGCCTTCTCCAAACCCAAAGAGCATTCACAGGGGCTCTCCCAGGGGCCCACCCACCCAAGGCCTGCAGCAGCATAGTGAGAAAGTCAGAGAATGGGCACTTCACATCCACTCGTGTGCTGGCTCGGCCAAGACACCCTTGCAACTTCTGGGGCCTGCTGGGACTCGCAGTCACAAGGTGGAGTGTCCAATCCCAAAGAACCTGCTCTCCATGCTGGAAACCATTCAGGACCCACAGGGCCACCCCGGGGTCCCTCCAACCTCTGCCTCTGTCGAGCATAGTATGCAAATGAAGCCCAAGCAGGACCCAGGTCACAGTACCCCTCATTCACCACAGAGACGCATCCTTCTACATGGAAACATCGGGGTCCTTGTGTCCTGGTAACAGATGGCAGAGCGGGGGCGGCTGCCATCCACAGGCATCTGCGGCGGTGGCGTCAGCGAGCGTGGTGGGGGTGGTGGTGGTGCTGGTGGTGAGCGTGGTGGTGGTGGTGGTGAGGAGGGCGGTGGAGGTGGTGAGGAGCGTGGTGGTGGTGGTGATGGAGGCCTGTGTTTGGCATGTGAGACACATGGCCAGGATGATGGTGGCCCCGGCGCCGGAAGAGCCAAGGCTGGGCCCACCGGACTCGGTTTCCCCCTACAGCCGGCCGGTTCCTCTCCACGTCATGATCCTGGCGTCCGTGGAAAAGGCAGGCGGCCACCACCAGCAGCAGCAGCAGGACCGCCACCGCAGCGCCTGCGATCCATCCCACAGGGGTCGTGCTCCCCAGGAGGCCTAGCATCTGGGAGCTGGAGAGTCCTTCTCTGCCTGGTGGCTCCTTGCTGCTTCCTCCCCGTCAGCAGCCTCTGCTCAGCCCTCACAGTCACTGAACTTTGTTGTCTCAGCTCCAGCGGGCTGGAGAGCGGCCAGGGAATGTGGGCGAAGCCTGTTTTGCACTGGAGCCGCTGGCCAAGGGTGAGGCCAGGCTACCGTTAACTCTGGGGAGGCCTGGCAGGAAGGCCAGGTGGAGACAGAGGAGCTGTCAGGCTGGTTATAGTCAGGAGGAAGAGCCCAGAGCCCAGAGTCCAGAGGAAAGAAGTCAAGGTTCGCTCCACCCCTGCCGCCTGACTGAGTGACTTCCCCCATGGGGCTTCAGTTTCTTCCTGTAGAGATAGCGTGGCACAGAGATTCACATGGGCCTTGGGGCCACACAACTCACTGGCTCTGATTGGGGCACAAGTTGTGTAACCTCGCTGTGCCTCAGTTTCCTCTTCTGTAAAATGACGGACCATGATACCTTACTTGTTGGGTGTTCTGAGTTAACAGAGTTAAGATACATAAAACACCTATACTGGTTCCTGTCACATGTTGGCCATGGATATTATTGCAGTGGAGTTTGGACTCAGTGACTGGAGAGACATCATCACTGAGAGGTTATGATTCCCTGTCCTGCAGCCCACAGCCCTGTCCGGGGCTAAGAGTCAGGCTCTGTCAAGTGAATCACCCCCGAGCTCAGTGAACTTCAGGGAGGCACCACATCCAGGGAGGCCTTTCAGCATCCAGGGAGGCCTTCTGTCCTGCTGGGTCTGGGAGATAAGAGGGTCTGGGTATCAGGTGTGCTAGGAGGCAGGCAGAGGCCCCAGAGACCCTGCCCCAGGCCCAGCCTCCAGGTTCCCAGTTTCACAGACTCAGTTGGCCATAAATGGCATGTTCTTGCTTTGTCCCACCCTCCTTGCCCAGTAGCCATGAATGCCATTTACAGAGTGGGCAGAATCTGAGCAGCCCCTGGCTCTCTCCCCCTGATGCCCCCAGTTTCCAGTCCCCTCTATTTACCACAGGAAGCCCTGTTCCGTCCTGCCCACAGGGCTCAAGAACTGGTGCTCACTCTCTCTGGGCAACCCTTTCTGCTGTGGGCTTGCCGGGCTGTTCTTGAACCTCTTCCTCACTCGCAGCGGGGCCCTAAGTCCATGTCTGGTTCCCCAGAGCCCCTCCAGGTTGAGTCCCCAGCCCCTTCCTCTAGGAGACTTCTAGGTGTGTGCTCATGTCCCTGCCACCAGGAGGAATGTTTGCAGACACCGTGAGGCTGGTGCTCTGAGCTCTGGCAGCAACTCCACCCTGTGACCTTGGGCAAAACCCTTCCCCTGACCCCGCCTTTCTCCTCCAGGGCCCCTTCCCCGCTCTGACATCAATCTGAGCCAAGTTCTCTCAGGGAGGCTCAAAGCCCTGTTGAAAACCCCTAGTGAAAACCCAGTGGATGAAAAGGCTATGCATTCCTCTTAACCAAATTGGGCTCAGGGGGCAGCAGGTCTAATGTATCCCAGGGCTTCTTTGGCCCTCAGAGGAGCCACTTGAACTTTTGATAATACTGAAGTAAGAACTTCTCCTGCAGACTTCTGGGGCCATAGGATCCCAGCTGCCTTCCCCAGGGGAAAGTTAAGGAGGAAAGAAGGCTGTAAGAAGGAGGAAGAGGAGGAGGAGAAGGAAGACGTCAAGCAGGGAATTTTCCTCTTCAGAACTTCTCCAAGGAGATTCCCACTCCACACCAGCCCCTGGAGGTGGGGGCAGGGCCCTGTAACCATGGACTTGAAGAACTGCAGCCAGCACAAAAGGCCCTGGAAATCACCCAGAACCAGCCCTCACTGAGAGATGGGGAAACTGAAGCCAGAAAAAGGAACGGACTTGCCTAAATTCCCCTAGGTTTGCAGGCTATTCTAAACAGCAGCTAATCAATAGGGCACTGTTCCTGCAGTGAAGGGTCTACCCAGAGTAAGAGCTGGAGATCATTGGGGACCTTTCACATAGATCATGGGAAAATGATGTGTAGATACGGATGAGCCTGAGGGGGCAGGGATTGGGAGACCGCTCCCCCATACATATTTTCTTAGGTACAAGTTCACTCCTCATCTGGACGGAAGGCAGGATACCAAGGTGAACATCTGATTAGATGCTTGAGCACTCGGGGTGAGAAGCAGTGGAGATGGGCATTGACGCCCCAGTCCTCCGCACCTTCAGAAATGACTGGCCTTCTTGGAGGCTTAGCTGGACACAAGAGCTTGCAAGACTGATGACTTCAGAGGGACTGTGGCTATGTCTAAAGATTCCTGCCTCAGAAAAACTGTCTTGTGGCCTTGTCATTGAGTTTCTCCCCCAGGAAGGGCCTTCTGCACGCTCTGCAGGCAGCCTTCCTAGCTGAGGAATGGGAATCCCCGACCACATGGCTGATGGGTGAGCCTACAGAAACTCGTATCGTTTAGCATCTTACCCACACTTCCCTGGGAACACAGACTCATTCAGGTCCTTGTAAATGGCATTGCTGTGTGGGCAAACTCATGCATCAATAGTTGTGTGTGTGTGCACACTCGTGTGAATACACAAGTACATGCTCATCCCAGACAAGTTTACAAACTCATGCTTGTAGTAGCTGCAGGTGGTTCTTGGTTGTCCAGCAAGAGCAACCACATTGTTTTCACCAATTAGTGGCACCACCTAGTGGCAACACTGTAAATACATCAGTTTTGGATTCTGACCTGTCAAACGTTAGTGTCTTGATTTTTGTTTCTAGATCATAATTTGAACCCATGCATTTAACTCCTCTCTAGTCTAAATTCCCATTGAAAGGGCCAAAGAATTAAAAGAGGGTAAGTACTATTCCACGCTGGAAATCAGTAAAGAGTTGCGTTAGTGGCCCATAAACTTTAAGGGTGAATTTCTGCAAGATATAGTGCAAACGCAGCCAGGATGATGAATGTTTTGACTATGGAAGGGCTTTTCTGGGAAGCAATGGGGGCTACACCCCCAGAGGAGTCTCTCTGAAGCCCTACAATAAGCAACCGAGACTAGGAGAAGGGTGAGCCGAGCAAGCAGAAAACACACTGAGTGACCTTGGGAATTACGAGTATCTGCTCACAGAGAAGTTGGCCACGGCTTAGACTATCTTTTGATTTGCGCAGAAAAGTAGGGTCATTGGCCAACAGGTCCCTAGCCTGGGTGATCTTGCCTGTTGGAGAAGGGGAACATTCTGCCAAACACCCTTGGGCTGCCTCAGCAAATACTAGAAAGAGGTTGCCTAGCACAGTGGCAAAATTGTCTTCTCAGAAGCTCTCCCTGCTCTAATCATGGCCAGCTGGAGCTCCCAGTCTAGAAAACTAGAGCATAAACATTCTGTTTTTCTTCTTTTTCCATTGCCTGGAACCAAATGCTTAAAAATGGTCTACGTACATTCTATAGAACATATTTCAAGTCCCAATCCCAAACAAACATAGATCTAGGTCTCTCTACAAAGTGAACAAATAAAGAAAAATAACTCAATATAAAAAAATAAGGTATTCTTATCACTAGGGTTACTGGAATTTAAGAAACAGAATCTGTAAAATTCCCTAATTTTATTGTAAATACAATTCCAAAGGTCAATCTATGTACAAATATGAGAAAATATGCAAAAACAAGAAATTTGTTTTCATATTAGGAACCAAATCAGGTAAGACTACCTTGAGACCCTTCCCTCTAACTCAGAAAAAAATAAATAAAAGTGTTAAGAGGGAAAAAGAGAAAGAGAAGAAAGGTCCAGAAATTCAATATGCTTATATAATAGGCATTCCAGAAGTCCATAATAGAGCCCATGGAGAAACAATCATTAAAGAAATAAAGAAAATTTCCTGACCTGAAGAATTAAAAGGCTTTAGAAGGTGCACTCAGGTTGGGCACAGTGGCTCACGCATGTAATCCCAGCACATCAGCAGGTCAATACAGGAAAATTGCTTAAGCCCAGGAGTTCGAGACCAGCCTGGACAACATAACAAGACCTGGTCGCTACAAAAAAATAAACATTTTTTTAAAAGAGAGAGAAAAAAAATTAGCCAGGTGCATTGGTGCATGCCTGTAGTCCCAGCTACTCATGTAGCTGAAGCAGAAGGATTGCCTAAGCCCAGGAGGTTGAGCGTGTAGTAAGCTGTAATCATGCCACTGCTCTTAGTATTAGGCAAACTATTTTAAGAGGCCAGATCATCTAAGTATATCCAGGTGAAAACTTCACATTAAAAGAATAAAGAAAAGCAAAAGGTACAGCCACCGTGGAAAACAACTTGACAGTTTCATATAAAACTAATCACACTCTCCTTCAACCACACAATCCAGCAATCATGCTCTTGGGAATTTACCCAAATGAGCTGAAAACTTAGATCCACACAAAAATCTGCATATGGGTGTTTATAGCAGCTTTATTTACAATTGTCAAAACTTGGAAGCAACTGAGATGTCCTTCAGTAGGTGAATTAATAAACTGGTACTTCCAGACAGTGAAATATTATTTAGTGCTAAAAAGAAATGAACTATCCAGTCATGAGAGAAGATGGAGGAATTTTAAATGCATATTACCAAGTGAAAGAAGGCAACCTGAAAAGGCTATGTATGTATGGGTGCAACTATATAACATTCTGGAAAAGGCAAAACTAAGGAAACAATAAAATCAGTCGTTCCCCGGGTTTGGGGGGAGGGAGGAGGTAGAATATGGAGACTTTTTTAGGGCAATGAAACTATTCTATAAGACACTATAATGGTGAATACATGTCATTATAAATTTATTTGTCCAAACCCATAGAATGTACAACATCAAGAGTGAGCCCTAATGTAAACTGTGGACTTCGGGTGACAATGATGTGTCCATGTAGGTTCATCAGTTTTTATTTTGTTTTATTTTATTTTATTTTATTTTTTGAGTTGGAGTCTCACTCTATCACCCAGACTGGAGTGCAGTGGCACGCTCACGGCCACCCCAGCCTTGACCTGCTGGGCTCCGGCAATCCT